ATATTATATTAATAATAAAATATTATTATTATAAAATCTTAATATAATATACAACAATAACAAATTAATATGCCAAAATAATTAAATATATAATAATTTGAAAATAATATGTAATAATTATAATATAATGATAATTATAATATAATGATAATTATAATATAGTATTAACTCATTAAAGTACAATATAATATTATACTATATTATACAATACTATATTTAATACTTATAATAATATAATAATGTCAACTAAATATTATAATATTTTATTTACAATATATTTTATTATAATTAATATATAATATATTAATAATATGTTTAATACTAATGTTATAATTGGTCAAACTAGTGTTGACAAAAAATAATTAACATGGTGTTTTGAAAACATTTTAAGGGAAAAATACAACACCATGGTGTTTTTTTACAAAAACACAACAATGAAAACTTCATGTTATCCAAACGAAGCCTTAGTAATTCCCAAAACCAAATAGGACTGCATATGATATTCTACAACTACAAACTATAAGTAACTGTTTTAGTAAACCTCAATACCAAATAGGGCTTAATATGATTTTCAGAGCTAAATTGCATAGCTTAATACAGTAGACTAGCCATGTGCCACCTTCAATGTGCTCTTCATTCTTGAGAAAAATGCATCTCTGCATTGAATATTACAGAACATGTAGGAAGAAGCCAAATAGAAGTGCAAGATTAAAGCAAAATGCATAAAAACAATAAAAAGTATAGCTACTGACCCATTCTTTGCTCTTGAAGCATGCCTCCCGTCGACTTCTCTATCTGCTTCAGGTTGTCCATCAGAATCCCTTGGTCCAGAAAACTTCGTGAACTTTGAGCCATCAGCTTCACCATCCTACAGTAGTTTGAGGTAAAGAAGGACATGAACCCAAATAATTGGAGAAGCTAGCTGAATGGCATAAAGACAAGCAAAAGTTAAAATGATAAATTCTTCAGACAACAACAACAAGCAACTGGTCAGAAAAGTTAACTCACAAATCTGCTCTTTCTCTCTCGTTCAGGCTCCCTTCCATCCCTATCTCTCCTCTTCTGAATTTCCTGAGCAATTCTATCTGTTTCCGCCTACAACATAAACAACGTTCATTAAAAAATTCATACTAATACATAAAGAACAAACTAGGGGCAAGTCCAAATTTGAAGGAAAAGAAACCATATCTTCTTTCCTATTGTAGTTAATTTACAATAATTTTTTTTATTTCCATTCTTTGCTCTTTATTTCTTTTTCAACAAAACCAGGTACCGAAAATAGGATGGATACACATAATTAAGCATTCATCATTAAGATATAAAAGGTATAAGAGAGGAAATGACAGCATTTTCTCATTCATTTGTTTATAAATTAGAAAGTTTGACAATAGGTTCTCATGTATGAAGATACGAGAATGTCAAAGTATTGAGTTTAACTAAAAATAATCGTACATTTAAAAAATAATCCATTTCATGCATTGCATACGTGCATGTTAGCTTGTCAACTATACTAGAACAGACAACATGATAATGGAAGCTTTTGTCCAAAAAAACTCACCTTTTTCTTCTTTGTTTCCTCCTCTTTAGCATCCAAGAACTGTTGAGGAACTCCGCTGACATTATTCTGCGCGCTGAGAAGCAAACCCCAGAGCTCCTTCATGAACTTCCCCGTATTCTTCTCCATGAACCCAGTAAGCTGTATCTGAATCTTCTTCCCATCCACTTCCTATATAATTCATTTGAAGCAAGTTTCAAAGTTGAAAATTTTTAGGCATGACGAAATTAAAAAATTACAGAATATGACATGCCTTTGCCTCTAGAAGACCATAAACGAAATTAATCAGGACTTCATCTTCAAATCCAAGGAGCTCAGTCACCCTCGTCGCGATCCACGGCCTGATCACATCCATCTTCACCTTCGTCATATCCACCTGCTCATCAACCAATCCCCCCAACAATTTACAAACCCTAACCCTAGAGGCAATCAAAAACCCTACGAGTCCTAGAACTAGATCGAGATACCTACCAGATGATCGAGCTCCGGCGGGAACTTCTGCGATTTGAGGAGCTTCGCCTGCTTGTTCGAGAACCGAGTGTCCTGATCCGCCGACGTGCCCTGAGATCAGCAGAAACAAAAGATTTAGATCGTCAAATCGATCGAGAAATTTGGGGCGAATCCGATGAAATCGAGAGGTTAGGGTTACTGAGATCGAGAAACGATCGAGGAGAGAGTTAGGGTTTCGCTCACCCTGAAGAAACCACCCGACATTTTTCTAGGGTTTTGGCGAGAACGAGAGCGCTCCGCAAAGAGGTACGCTTACTGTGTGTTTTTTTTCCCCGTCTATCGAGGGTCCAGTTAATGGTCGCGAGTGATTAGAGGGGGTTTGGCGTTTTATATATGTGGGCTGGATCTCAGGAGGCCTTGAGTACCAAATGGGCCTGTGTTATATACCGGAGTTGGTCAGTTGCTGACTCTTGTGGGCCTAATATAACCGCTGATTGTGGGCTTATTTTCACTTTGACGCCCCGAAGTTACCCTTTGCTACGTTTGGTGCCTAATACCATCGAGATGCAATTAACTAGCTAGAATTTTGGGAGCGGAATGAGTCGGGCGTGCTATTCGTTTTTTGAGTAAATTTTGGTCTAAAGATGTAATTTAAAAGCCTAATTCATCTTTACTTTATGTTCCTTTGCAACCAACACACCGCTCTGTTCAGATGAGCACACTTCAGGCAGTTCATTGGTTGGGTCAGGGGAAAACTGAATCTTTGTGAAGGAATTGTGTCCTTTAATCGAATGTGCAATTACTAATTATGGTATGGGACATTTAATGGAGATTTACAATCCGGTTATTTTAGGTAGTCATAGTGCTTTGCTAGAAGCCAACTATGATTTATGGACTTTATGTTATAAAGTTCATTGCTATTATAATTGGGTCCTACGAGGTCACACCCTAAGAGTTTATGGACTGGATATATTGGGAGAATTATTATATAAAGTATATAATATAAAGTTATATAAGATATAACTTCAAAATAGAGTTTATTAATAATAAGGAGTTATTGTTAAATAAAGGATAAATTTATTTATAAATGTTATAAAAGATAATATTTAATTATAGAATTAAATATGACTTTAATTTGTGGATTATAAATAAGAGTGGTTTTTCTTTTAGAAAATCCAATCCAATTCTACTTTTTCTATATACGTGAAAGTGTTACTACTTTCTCTCCCAAAAACCTTTCATCTTCAACCTAGCAGTTGATTTCTAAGGATCCAGATCTTTGCTCGGGTGGATCAACTAGAGGAGTTTTCAAGTGAGACTCTTAATCTCTCCATTAGAGAAGGCTTTGAACACGCATCAAGAGGTAATCGTTTTTCCTTTTTTTTTAATCCAATTGATTTATGCAATAGATCCTTCGTTTAGATGTTAGGAAAACGTTTCCTGCAATTCCGCTTAGAGCATCTAAAGTTTCTACAGTGGTATCAGAGCCTCTTGCATAAATTAATTGGATCAAATTTTAATCTTACAATTTGATGCATGTTCATGATTTTTTAGATTCAATAAGCATAGATCATATGTTTGGATTAATGCATAATAAATACGATTTATTTTATAAAATATTTGATATTTTATTTGATAAATAAAGATTTAATTGTTCTGTAAGATCTATATATATCTTATTTGGTTAATTTTGAATTAACATAAATATTTGTTTCTATTTCTTGGCAAATTACTAATTAATATTAGATATTAATTCCATTCACAGTCTTATTGAATTAAAATAATGAGAAATCGTTTCTAATTTTAAATAGTTAATATGATTAATTATTTATGCTTTTTATTTGGATAAATTGCATGTCTTACTTGAATAACATTTCATTGCATGTACGTTTAATATTATGATATTATTGCATGTGGTGACTAATATGCCCAAATTAGGATAGATAAACACGATCTGCGTATCGTTATGTATTTTTTGTAATTTAAATTTATGCAAGAAAGTTTATTCAAATTTATGTAACACAAGAAGAAGAAGATCCTATGATGACTAAAGGATGGTGATCCAGAAAGTCAAGACTATTGAAGATTAGATCTCTTTAGGGGCCATACTAGGATCCAAATTTTTATTATTGCATTATGTGAATGTTTTATTATCTCTTGCCTTGCATGAATGCTTGTTTATTTAGTTCGCTTATATATAGACAACCATTACATGCTAAAAGTCCCTTAAAAGAATATTGAGATTATGCCTTTCCATGTCATAACCATGAGGCCCTTGGAATTCGTTGGATAGTTTTCGCCCTAGCGAGGTGTCCTTCCTTGACCTTGGGATAGTGCGGGTATGTCTAATAGGGGCATGCTGCCTTGATATGGTTATACTCAACAAGAGGCCAAAAGACTTAGTTTTAGATCTTGAGGCATAAGGATGAGTTAACATATGATGTGGCCATCAACCAAGAATTATAAAGTGTTATAATTAGTAAAGCATTTACTTACCTTGATTACATGAGATTTGGGGAAGTGCCTTAGTACGCTCAAGTTTCATCTAAGATAGGATCTTGGAATTATTTTACTCACAAGGGACAATATTATATTGAGTAGAATATGCAATAACTTGTTATTTAGAACATGTCTAAAATAAAGTTTTTTTTTGCATTTCAAGCATAATTTATCTGCATATTTCAATTTCTGTTTTGTAGTTACTATGTCTACTGAACACCTCAAATTCACGCTCCGCTCAATTGTTGAGAAAAACAAGTTGAACGACACCAATTTTCTTGATTGGGAACGAAATCTGAGAATTATTCTCAGGTCTGAGGACCAAGAGGATGTCCTAGAAACACCCATCCCAGAGCTGATTGTCAACTCATCTGATGAGGATAAGGCACGTCACAAAACAATATGCGAGAGGTCAAGGAATGTTACTTGCCTCATGCTGGATGCCATGGAACCGGGTCTTCAATAGAGGTTTGAGGATCAGGATGCCTATATAATTATGAGAAATCTTAGAGATCTCTTTAAGGAGCAGGCCAGGATTGAGAGGTATGAGACCCTTAAGTCCATATTGCAAAGCAAGCTCGAAAAGGGGAAACCAGTGGGGCCACATGTTTTCCACATGATAGGCCTGTTTGACAGGATGGCTCGACTTGGGAACCCCTACAATGTTGAGATGGCTACAGATATGATCCTGTATTCCTTACATGATGGATTTGCCAATTTCAGGCAGATGTATCACATGGGAGCCATGGGTAAGACCCTCAATGAGCTGCATGCTATGCTCAAAACTGCTGAGCAAAATGTCTTGGTTGAACCTAGGAAGGATGTTCTTATGGTCAACAAAGGGAAAGGGTTTAAGAAAGGGCCACAGAAGAAGCAACAGTCTCAAGGGAAGGGCAAGACAGTTGTTCCACCTAAGGGAAACACACCTAAAATAAAGGTGGCTGCTGAGCATGACTGCTTCTACTGCAAGGCTAAGGGGCACTGGAAGAGAAACTGCCCCAAATATCTGGAAGATAAGAAGAGGGGTGCCTCTGCTTCAGGTATTTGCGTCATTGAAATCTTATCAACTAACTCCAATTCTTGGGTATTAGATACCGGTTGTGGTTCTCACATTATTTCGAATGTGCAGGGACTACGAAATAGGAGACGGTTGCAGAAGGGTGAGATAGATCTTCGCGTTGGAAATGGAGCAAGAGTTGCTGCACTTGCCATTGGAGATTATAGTCTACCGCTACCTTCTGGCTTGGCTTTAGAACTTTATAATTGTTATTTTGTTCCTTCTATTACTAAGAATTTGATTTCTATTTCAGTTTTGAACCTTGAGGGTTATAATTTTGTCATTAAGGATTGTTTTTCTATTTTTAAGAATAACATCTTTTATGCTCAAGCCCATACGAATAATAGTGGATTATACATATTGGATCTCAAATCTGAAGTTTATAACGTTGATACAAAACGGCAAAAGTCGAATGACATAAGTGAAGCCAATCTATGGCATTGTCGCCTAGGCCACATTAGCATTAAACGCATGAAGGAACTCCAAACAGTTGGTAGCCTAAAGTCATTTGATTTAGAATCATTTGAAACATGTGAATCATGTCTAATGGGTAAGATGACAAGGTCACCTTTCAAAGGTACAAGTGAAAGGACTACTGAGCTCTTAGCTCTCATACATACCGATGTGTGTGGACCTATGAGCATAGAAGCTAGGAGAGGCTATCGATACTTCATTACATTTACTGATGATTTTAGTAGATACGGGTATATCTACCTAATGAAACATAAATCTGAGTCTTTTGAAAAGTTCAAAGAATTTCAGCATGAAGTTGAGACACAAACAGGCAAGAAGATAAAGGCACTTCGATCAGATCGAGGGGGTGAATATCTGAGCCAAGAATTCGACCATCATTTGAGGAGTTGTGGTATTCTAACACAACTGACTCCACCATGTACACCACAACTGAATGGTGTGTCTGAGAGGAGAAACAGGACATTGTTAGACATGGTCCGCTCTATGATGAGTTTTGCTGATCTTCCTACATCCTTTTGGGGTTATGCCCTCACTACCGCTGCGTTCACACTAAATAGGACTCCGTCCCGATCAGTTGACAAGACACCACATGAGATATGGTTTGGGAAGCCTCCCAGCTTGTCATTTCTGAAGGTTTGGGGATGCGAGGCTTATGTAAAGCGTTTACTATCTGATAAGCTCGCACCCAAATCAGACAAATGCTTCTTTATAGGTTACCCCAAGGAAACGAGGGGTTATTATTTCTACAATCCCGTTGAGAACAAGGTGTTTGTTGCTCGGGATAGTGTCTTTTTGGAAAAGGATTTCTTTTCCAAGAAGTCAAGTGGGAGAAATGTTCAGCTTGATGAGATTCAACCTGAGCAACAAACCCTACAGCATGAGGACATAGAAGATGTCACAGAGGAACTTGATTTTGGAGGCGTACCTTCTCAAAGGGAAACCACCCATATTCAAGATGCAATTCCTCAGGTAGATGAAGCACCCGAGGTCCCACATACTGATGTGGTCAATCCTCCTGCTAAAGTCTCTCCAGCTGTTGGACCACTTTGGAGATCAAACAGGCCAAGGCGGCAACCTAGACGATATGAGGATTTCGTCTTGAATGCTAGCATTGACGTTCTACTTTTAGAGAATGATGAGCCTGCTACCTATAAACAAGCAATGGCGAACCCCGACTCCGAAAAATGGCTTGAAGCCATGAAATCCGAAATGGACTCCATGTCTGAGAATCAAGTATGGGACTTGATAGATTTGCCTGATGGGGTAAAACCCATTGGATGCAAATGGGTCTTCAAGATCAAGACAGACAAGGATGGAAATGTTTCTGTCTACAAGGCAAGATTAGTTGCCAAAGGATTTAGACAAGTTCATGGTATTGACTATGATGAAACGTTCTCACCGGTTGTTATGATCAGGTCCATTAGGATAATCCTAGCAATTGCCGCTTATTATGATTATGAGATATGGCAAATGGATGTCAAGACCGCTTTTCTAAATGGATATTTAGAAGAAAATGTATACATGATGCAACCAGAAGGTTTTGAGGATCCAGAGAATCCTAGGAAAGTATGCAAGCTTAAGAAGTCTATCTATGGACTTAAGCAAGCATCCAGGAGTTGGAATCTTCGTTTTGATGAAGTGGTCAAAAAGTTTGATTTCATCAGATGCGAAGAAGAGCCATGTGTTTACAAGAAGTTTAGTGGGAGCAAAGTGGCCTTCCTGGTTCTATATGTGGATGACATATTACTCATTGGAAATGATATTCCTATGCTGGAGACAGTCAAGGAATGGCTTAAGAAGTATTTCTCAATGAAGGATCTAGGAGAGGCAGAGTACATATTAGGCATTAAGATCTATAGAGATAGGTCTAAGAGGCTTATTGGTCTAAGTCAAGGAACTTATATAGATAAGGTCCTTGCTAGATTTAATATGGTGAATTCTAAGAAAGGATTCCTTCCTATGCAACATGGCTTACGTCTCAGTAAAAGCCAGTGTCCTAAAACACCAGGTGAAATTGAGAAAATGAGTAGGATTCCCTATGCCTCAGCCATAGGATCCATCATGTATGCTATGACTTGTACTCGCCCAGATGTTGCGCACGCTTTGAGTATGTGCAGCAGATACCAATCAAACCCTGGAGAGGCACATTGGTGTGCAACCAAGAACATTCTAAAGTACTTGAGAAGAACTAAGGATAATGCCTTAGTGTATGGAGGTGATGACGAGCTGATCAAATTTTAGACTCTTTAACTTTAGTAGTACCTTCATGAGTTACCTCGAGTGTGTGCCAAATATCATATGCGGATGTGGCCGTTGACACCCTATTGAACTCATTCTTGTCAAGTGCACAAAATAAGGCATTCATTGCTTTTGAATCCAAATTTGCATTGTTCCTTTGAGATGTAGTCCATTCCGCAAAAGAAGTTGTTGGCTTTTCATATTTTGTTTCCACGACGTTCCAAAGTTCGTAGCCAAGAGATTGGAGGTAGATCTTCATCCTACACTTCCAGTAGTTGTAGTTCGTGCCATCGAACATTGGAGGACGATTTGTAGAGTGACCTTCCTTGAATTGTGATGTATTTGACGATGCCATCTTTCACCTTGCTCTGATACCAAATGTAGGATCTGAAATAGATACACTAGAACACTAGAGGGAGGGTGAATAGTGTTCTTTTAAAATTATTGCAAAGTAGATAATAAATTGCAAAGAAAAATGGCAATCTCAGAAATTTGCAAACACAAACACAAGGATTTTATACTGGTTCCACCAATCCGGTGTACATCCAGTCCCCAAGCAAATCCCGCTTGAGAGTTTTCACTATGATTTTGAATAAACTTACAAAATCAAACGCAAACCTGACCAATTTGCAAGTCCCTGCAAATTGCAACACCAATTGACAAACTCCTTGCCAATTTGAACCCCAATCTCTAAGCCAAGAGATTAACTCTCTCACAACCGAGAGAAAACTTGAATGAAGTGCAGCAGTGGCTTAGGATTCTTTTTAATCTCTGTGAAATTGCCTAATTGATTTGTTTTTGATGAAAGTATATAGGCAATTTCAGAAACTCTTCTTTTTCAGAGAATCAGAATGTTTTTCACTTGAAAAATTGCACAAAGATCAAAGCTTATGGGTATGTATGCATGTACAATTTTTCTGAACAAATAACCTATATATAGCCCTTGAAAAGACAAGTTTTTAAAGTTTAAAAACGGCCAAAAACTGTCAGATATTCAAATTCTGAAAACTGAAAAACTCTCTTGTAGTCGAATAATGTAGTCATTAGTCGACTACACTGAGTTCAAACAGACTCTGTGTTTTCGGAAAGTGTTCTCAGTAGTCGACTATAATGCTCATTGGTCGACTACACTGAAATTTGACAGAAACTTGAAAACTGATATTTTCCTTCAGTAGTCGACTATTTAAGAGTTTATGGACTGGATATATTGGGAGAATTATTATATAAAGTATATAATATAAAGTTATATAAGATATAACTTCAAAATAGAGTTTATTAATAATAAGGAGTTATTGTTAAATAAAGGATAAATTTATTTATAAATGTTATAAAAGATAATATTTAATTATAGAATTAAATATGACTTTAATTAGTGGATTATATTTAATTATAGAATTAAATATGACTTTAATTTGTGGATTATAAATAAGAGTGGTTTTTCTTTTAGAAAATCCAATCCAATTCCACTTTCTCTTATATACTTTCTCTATATACGAGAAAGTGTTACTACTTTCTCTCCCAAAAACCTTTCATCTTCAACCTAGCAGTTGATTTCTAAGGATCCAGATCTTTGCTCGGGTGGATCAACTAGAGGAGTTTTCAAGTGAGACTCTTAATCTCTCCATCAGAGAAGGCTTTGAACACGCATCAAGAGGTAATCGTTTTTCCTTTTTCTTAATCCAATTGATTTATGCAATAGATCCTTCGTTTAGATGTTAGGAAAACGTTTCCTGCAATTCCGCTTAGAGCATCTAAAGTTTCTACAGAGGTCTTGTGAGGAAATATTGAAAATGAGTTTGTGTGTCATGCCTCTGAAGGTGATGGTGGTAAAAGGAACGAGTCTGTGATGATCAACAGAAATTTTGATTTGTGCTTGTCATGTATATGGGTTTGTGCACCACATGAATTTATTTACTCCATTTATTTTTTTATTTAATATTTTGTTTTGTTATTTGAGTACTAATGTGATATTTTGATTTGTACTTATTATGAGAATGCCCAGTTGGCATGCTGCTTCACGCTTTTTGGTTCTATCACTGGACAAAATGGCAAGATAAATAAAGGTATAACGAACAAGCAGTTTGATGATAATATTAACAATTCTTCCGATTTCCATTTCCTTTTATGATTGATCAGGAATGCATTAAGTTGGAGGGATCTTGAGATGGAAGCAATTATTAAGAATGCGTAATGAAATAATTCTTAAGAATATGTCAGGTGGAAGGGAAGTTTGAGATATTTTCTCTGTATCGTGAATTTTGTATGTCGAGGTTTGTTCATATCGACTTTGTTGAGGATCTAGAGAATGTTAGAATCGGTGGACTATGGGTGATAGATCAAGTCGATCGCTGGAAACAAGGTGTTCGCAAATATTCACTTCTCCCGAACCCATATCACTCGAAAATCGAAGTCCCTCCAATCAGGCGTTCCTCAGGAATAACAAGTTTATCACTAGATAGATGAACAAGATCCAACAGTAAGTCCCTACCTAAGACTCACAAGCTCATCGCTTGATAGGTATTTGTAACACCGATCGAGTCTAATTCTATTATTTGATTTTAAGTAAAATTATCTAAGAACTGTATGGCTAATTATGGGTAGAACATGTTTGATTGCCTGTATTTAGTACTTTCAAACAACAGATAGCGGTGCAGTATCTTTGCATTTCCCCCCCTTTTGTAAATATTCAGACTTGCTGTTCTGCTACTTGTTTCTTATTATTTCTGAAGTTAATTTTTAACCTCATTGCGGGACAATATTGTTCTGTATTCACTGCTTGTGTTTCCTATAATGGATGATTTGCTGGCTGTGCTTGCTCACGAGACACTGCAAATCTACTGAAGTAGTATTTTCTTTTTTCCTTTATTTAGAGGAAGAGTCATTCTCATTATGTTTTGAAGTGATCGTGTTGCTTTTCGCCAGTAAATTCTTGTAAATAGACTAATGTCGGGTGGCATCCATCTGGTTTATATATTTTCTTCCAGATTACATTTGTGTTTTCTGGCTTTAACAATCTCTCGAACAGATCGAGAGGACTTGTCGAAAGCTCTACCTCGGGTTCCTTATTTTCAGTTGGGTGCTGGGTTTTTTAGAATGCAAATTGCGGTACAAAAAAAGTTTCAAATTTTCCGTTAACCTAAAAATCTTCATTGTTTGGAGACTATAACCCATGTTTCTGTTTCACTTTTGTCTTATTTATAATATTTTGAGCGTGATTCAGAAATGACCGATAAAGCATTCTTCTTTTAGTTTACGAAACTGTTGTGAAATGTGTATGATAGTTTAGAAAACTGTCATGAATTATAAGTTACAGAATGAGAGATCTAGAAATGAATAGCAAGTGAACCCCCTCTTGTTTGCATTAATTTTTCTCATTACCTCCTTTATCTCTCTCTCTCATAGTCATCCCCGATGTAATTCACTTTTATCATGATTTAAGTGAACCCCCTCTTATTTGCCCTAATTTTTCTCCTTACCTCCTCTATCTATTACCTCTCATCTTTTCCTTTGTAAGACTATCTCCATCAGGAGTCGAAATTTTAACCTTCTCTCTCCTGCCACATCACTTTATTCCCCCTCCACATAATTCAACAATCTCCATTTTCTATCATCTCTACAGCAGGAGTTTTTTCAAAAGATTTTTACTTTATTTGGGACCTACTATAACCCCATCACTCCAACATATATACCCCATCACTCCAACAATCGCCACATGTCGCGTGCTGATTGGTAGGCGCCTTTAATTTTTTTTTTAAATACAGCTACATGCTTTTTTCGCGGGACCCACGTGGTCAAAAAAAACCAATGGTGAAATATTCACCCCTTTGACTCCGATTTTCCATTTCACCACCCAAAAAACCACCTGCTGGAGCAAAAAAAACCCCCAAAAACCACCTGCTGGAGATAGTAGAAAAACCCTTTCAAAAAAAGGAAAAGTGTCAGCGTCGAATTCAAAGTTATGGGCTCGAGCTCCATCGGTATGAACTTGATATTCATTGTTCACAGCCATGATTTTAACATCTATCTATGGGGCGTCCTATAGATCTGCACATGCTCAAGGGTCTATACAACAATAAAAAATTGTAGCATTTGTGACACGCGGAAATAACGTCCCTCATCTAACAAAATCTTGAAAATACTGCTCAATGTAAATTAAGATTACAGGAAATATTGTTCGCCGAGAACAACAGAACTACTTTACTACTATCACAGAAAAACCTTAATCTCATCAATCAAATAAAAAATCCGATACAAATATCCTTGTTATCTAACTATCATATACCATCATCTCCAAGAACAACATAGAAGTAGAAATGACACTACTCTAAGCGAATGCAGTTTGCTAATTCTCTTCCTGGCTTCACAAGTAGAAATGACACAAAATGAATACCATATCTAGATGCTCGCTCCCTCGCTCCCGCCCTCTCTATCTCAAAATCTCTCGCCAAACCTACAAAATATGGATCCAGTGCCGGCATTGTGGTCAACAGCATATTCCATTCTAACTAAACCAAGCTTTGCACCGACACCATAGGATGAGCCATGACCAGCTCGCCTGAAGAATTCGGTGGGGTTTCCCTTCACATCCTTTGAACTCCCCAGATCATTTCCATGCTCCGCAAAAGCATACACGTAGGTGTTCTTGACAGGAACTCGGAGCTCAGCAGCAAGCTGATTAGAAGAAAAGAGTTAGGCTCAGTAATTAGGATTGGAAACATCAAGTTTTTCCAAGTGCAAATTTCATCATCATCTAAGCTAGGGTTAATTGCAGATAGGTCACCTACACTATCGACCAATTGCGGATAGACCCCATTGTACTTATATTGCTGCAGAAAGACCACCCTAAATGGAACTTTTTTGCCTCTTTTACCTTTAGAGATTGCTTTGATGACAAAATAGCCCTCGTGATGGGAAAAGCGTTAAACAAGTCACTTAGGGGTCTATCTGAAACAATATAATTACGGGGGTCTACCCATAGTTGGGCGCTATTATAGGGCAGATGAGGAAATTTTCAAAACAGCCCCAAAAAGTTTTTTATTTATCAAAATCGACCCACTTTTTGCCACGTGGGCTTAATGAAATTCCTAAACAATCGGGGTTGCCAACCCCGACTGTTTAGGACATGAAAATTTCGGGTTTAAGGGTTCTAATTGGGGTTTAACACCCTCCTAAACAGTCGGGGTTGTCAACCCCGATTGTTTAGGAACTTCATTAAGCCCACGTGACAAAAAGTGGGTCGATTTTGATAAATAAAAAAAAAGTGGGTCGATTTTGAAAAATAAAAATCTTTTTGGGGCTGTTTTGAAAATTTCCTCATCTATAGATAGTATGGTATCAAGTGTTTCACACTTTTCGAGAGATCTACTTCACATTAAAACTTTGTGCTCTCTGTAAAATGTCATTTCTTTAATAAGCCTTAGGATGCAATCTTTTAGTTAAGAATCCTCCATGGACTGTTACCATGTTCAGTGAGCTCGTTGATAACATCATTATAATACTTGAGGCCTTTTGGATTGACAGTTCCTCTTCCATCTGGGGGAAAAAAATTCATGATGTCAACTTCGTATCCTAAATATCTTATCCATGATGTATCTGAAAACAACGATGTTTTATACTTGGAAGAAGCCTTGACCAAGAGATGGAAAATCTGTAGGCTTCCAGTCCTAGATCGCTCATAAGCTTGACATCTTCCTGAAAGATTAAATATGTTACTGGCAGAAAAAGATACACCAACACTAAGCCAAATTGATGCAAATGGTTTTTAAGGAGCTATTACAAGCTATCTGTTCTCATTCGATTTCTGATCTTGTTTTTTCACTGAGTTTTCATAACTATGGCACAAATGAGTAAGGTTGTACAGCACTCGTCCTCTTGAGTTTGATTTGAGTCAACACAAGACTCACGAGCCCTAGTTCCAAATGGAAGCTTGGCTAGGGTGAACTAAGGCTTATGCAACAGTTACTTCCAACTTCAGTTGCATAGAATTAATCCACCTGAATAACCACTAAAAATCTGAAATTTAACATCCAAACCCAAACAATGAGTTACTTATTGGTAAGAAGTGATCTAATAGGTATTATCCTATACAATTTGTAATAGTCTGATAGCATGTATAATGCATTTTGACAGGTGTTCTCCATGTTTAAGAGAGAGAGAGAGAGAGGGAGGAAGGGAGGGGGGGAGGGAGAAGCAAAAGTTCAATATGTTGCAAAATGTTGATTGAAGGTGATTTTGCATCATCTATTGCAGCTGAAGAACAAACTATTTATGATGATGTATTTCCATTAATGGAATTCACAGAATTCAGTTTCAAGAAGAAGTGAACAGTAACAGTGAACATACACCTACGATATCCGCCTTCAGGTTCAATCTCTTCTCAAGCTTTGAACCTTAACCTAATGTCTTTGCTAAATGCAAAGTGTTTCTCGAACTAGAGAATGCATGCTAATAGTACTTGACTGATCTGGCTTGTGTGTAACAATGTTTTGTTTTGCTGATTGAAAACCTCCAAATTAATCATAATTCAATATTAGACTCTGAAGTAGAAACTATATTCCTACGTGCTTTATAATTAATTAAAAATGTATTAAAAAAAATGCAAAGAATGTTAAATAGTTCAAAAAGATGATAGATTTAAAATTCAGTGAATTTTTTCTTTGAGGTTGTGTTGAATAAATTTTACAACTAGGATAAGACATTATTCTATAACTCATAATTTTTCTTGCAACAATTTTTTTAAGGTCACGTGCATGTTGGCTAGTAATCATAAATTTTTGCTTGAATGTGGAATTAAAAAATATGATTAGTGATTGTCAGCAATGACGATATGCTGAAAATGAGTGCTTGAAGCTGAGAAAGCAAAGGTCAACAATGGATGATGTGAAAGCCGTAGATGAACGGTCCAGATCTGAAGAGAGGATCATACCTTGTATTTGTGGTAGCCATCAGAAGCCACATCACCTGTGCTTTTGTCTGGCATCTTCCCTGTCAAATTAAACAACTATTAAAACTCCGGCAAAAACAAAGCGCAAAATGAAAGTAGAATATTACACACACGTTAATAAACTATAAAAGTCTGGGAAAAAACAGCAAAATAGACAATAGTGATATAGACAACCCTCAATGATAATATAGTTCTTTTGTTGATAGTGTAACGGGACATTGTCAACAACTCTACAAGCCCACCTTTTATATTGTGGACTGATAATATGTATCAAGCTAACATTAGCTAATAATGCTCTTTCTAGTGTTTTGAACTTAGGATCTCTAGGAACCTGATTTTCTCTAATACCATATTAAAAATCTTCTTACCGATCTTAAACTTTGTATCGAACTGATGTTAGTTCTTAACGGACTCCCACATTTAGCTTTGAGATGTAATATTAGAGATTATAGTGGTGTTTCAGTCAACTTGGCCAAATCATTTACCTTACAAGCAAACCACTTACAGATCGCAAATCCAGTTATAACAGTATATAAACAACACAAAAAACAAGTTGCCCATGGTACTACTGCAGGACCTTTTGGGCTAACCAAGAACGTATACCTCTAAAATTTTATTTTTACAAAATAAACAATAATGAGTGCGAAACTCCAGTCTTAGACTAAAAAAATCCAACTGCAACAGATTCACAGGTCTTAAAACTGTAAGGTATAGATTGTTGTACTGGTTCCCGTATATTTCTTCTGCAAAGTGCGTAAGGTTACCGTGACACTAAGACAAAAGGATGACAGAAACTTATTGAACTCATATTTTTGTGTTTTCATTGAACTCAAATTTTTTGTGTTCTCTCTCTCTCTCTCACACACACACACAATTTTAACCAAAATGGCATTCTTTTATCAATTTATTGGACTAGCCTAAAGGAAACATGATTGCACTGCATGGTACCTGCATGTGTGAAAGTATCCCAAATACTTGGGCTCCTCCCATCCTCTGCTGCTGCCCCCTCATACTGAATAAATAACATAGCACTACCAAATCATACAAAAAAGCTAACGTATAATTAGCTCGCAAATTGATTAGACCGATACCATTATCTATACTGACCTGATAAGCTGAAGTCCCTGCCCCAAAAAAAAACTCAGACGGGAAATCATCTCTCCTATATTTAGTTGCAGTCTGCTGGCTGAAGCCCAAATCGGCAATGGCTAGTTTGGAAAGGAGAAGGAGAAACAATGCATAAGGAAGAAGCCTCATCTCTATGATAATTTTAGTCAGCTCATTTCTGGGTTCCCCTAATTCTCTTTTATTGGATCCATTGGAGGCAGGTACTTCCTAAAGGATATGCAGACAAATAGTATGACTTCATAGATGATAGCATATTTATTGATGTTTACATGGTTGAGATATTTGGAATGCTCCGCATGACTATGATAATGAGCGTGGATTACAGTGTATCCTCCTATTTTCTTCGCAATCTGAATCATTAAGGTTAATTTTCAACCCTTCACGCCTCAAAACAAAGAAAACTTAAGGGTGTTCCACAACTTTGAGAAATCATTAAAAAAAAGCCCATGAACTTCCAGGTGTTCCACAAAACCCCCTAAAATTTCAATTGTTCCCACAAACAAAGTTAGCTATG